GCCAAACATGTTATTATGTATAAATTACCACAAGCTTTACTATTTTTTATTTGTTATTGTTTCGTTACTTGTAGACTGGCTTTGTCTTTTTTGTGTGGTCATGGACTCTACGACGTTGACCAAGTAGAAATCGTCTTTGATATGATGTTGTACGCGTGTCAGATTTATTTAGCGTTCATTGTCAAACCAGATGAGATCTTTTTTCTACCTCAAATTTAAAATACCTGTATGATCAGAAAATAAATATTTATTTGTTTCGTCCATAAAGATGTTGTAACAGTTATGCAGAGTTAGTGTTACTTTTTTTTCACAACCACTTTTACATCTCTGATTTGGTCACATTATAACCTCCGGTTAGCAGACGACAAGAACCCATTTTGTATAGCTAGTGAAGGCTGCTTGGTTACTGAGTAACATGGAGCAAAAAGCGAAGATTAACTTTTGCTTAAAAATTGGAAAAATGTTACTAAGACTCTTGAATTGATGGGGCATGCTTTTATGGGAACAATGTCTATCTCGTGAATGTCACCTGGAATTTACAATTCAACGCCGTTGTGGAAACGATTTCAAATGAAACTAAGCTGAGACGTCTGATTTATGTTTGTAATGATCAAATCTTTTGCCAAAATCAGGGAACGAAGATCGATATCTGGGAGTGAGATTATTTTGATGATGAATTTGATCAACATTGATCCTCATACGCTTGTTTCGTCCACTCATCTGTCTCAACAGCAATTGTCAGAGTTTAAAACAGATTTTAATGTTCACTCTTTGCTCCGTAACCACCAACTTTAATTAATTTAACAAAATGTCGGGTTACTTGTCGTCTGCAGTCCAGGCAGGGTCACAGTTTGGTGTTTCTTACCACAGCCGATTCAAATTGCGTCTCCTTACTTAATAGCAAGACTAACTCAAACTCATGAGCAGAATTTGACCACAAAGGATGTGTACTATCTCTGAATAGTTAGCAGTAGTAGCGATGTCAGATAAACATTGAAAAAAAGAAACTAGATAAATACTAGAACTGGCAACAGGCATACAGTGATTGGTTCAGAACAAATGTATTTTCATTTGACAAGAACTCCTTGGTACCAGTTAAAACAGAGCAAAGGGACCACGTCGACGTTATCAGCAACAGCCTTAGAGATGTGATGACCCTGCTTTGCATGGTCTCCACGAGTACATTGTGGCAAGCAGGAAGTCCGTGCTTCAAGTGACAGCACGAGATACTTGTGGCTGGTCGAGTACACGCGGGAAAACCCGAGCTAGCCTCGTGGTCAGTCGATCATCAGAAGTCAGGAAAGACGGTTGTAGTAATTGAAGATGTAGTCTTTATGTCGCGCGAATTGCTAGTGTTTAAATTTGTCGCAAGCGATGAAAGTGAGAATAATTGTTTGAGCATGTATAACAAATGGACCAGACTAAACTGACAGAATGTACAAAGAAGCTGAGTGGCGTTTGTATTGTCAACCCTAGAAGTTAAAGTCGGTGCAAACCAAGGTTCATTTCAAGTGGGAGCTCATCCGGGATTTGAACCAGGGACCTCTCCCAAGCGAGAATCATACCCCTAGACTGACCACAAGGCTAGCTCCGGCTTTCCCTCGTGTACTCGAACAGCCACAAGTATCTCGTGCCGTCACTTGTAGCACGGATTTTCTGCTTGCCACAATGTACTCGTGGAGACCATGCAAAGCAGGGTCATCACAGAGAAATTGGAAATTAGAGAGCACATACAGAAGGTCTTTGTATCTCTAGCCAACAATTCCTTCCAAAGTAACTAGGGGAAAAATAATCGGAGGAGGTAAAGAAACGGAAGAATTTTTAAAAAATCACTGCTTCTTCTTCTTCTTCTTCTTCTTCGGCGTTCTTTCTAGTAACGCCATTCTGCCGCATCTGCTTAGAGCACATTTGTACCTTTCAGACAACACATTCGACGTCATAGTACATATGTTATGCAATTTAGCCTTCCCATTTAGTTTCGTGGGGCACTGTACAACCTCAGCCATCTGGTCTCCGCGTAGTGTACGCCAGTTTCCATCTCTAGGTCAACCGTGTGCATCTTGGTCGACTTCCAAGGGAAGGCAGAGAACATGGCCACACCCAGTTATACAAGGTGGCTTCTAAAAAATGCAAACCTCATACAAGGCTCTCTGGTACTGGACTTGACCAAGATATCCTCACATTTGCGCATGCCCGCTTAACCTTACCTCAGTCAACTGGACCTCCCATTCATGGGCAGTGCTTTTTAGGAAACGAGCACTTCGTTTCCTCGAGACGTTAAACAAATCATCTAGTCGATGATTCTTAACGTATGGGTGTCTCGGGATAGTCCGTGTGGTAGTATCGGTACAGACATGATCGTTTTGATCACTTTGGAAAGCATGCGACAGACTTGACCTTTCCGATTGGCCAGAACACACAAGCGAGTGTCGTCTTTGGTAGTGGAAATACAAATCATTTTTTGTCGTTTAGTAGTAATCTTGATCCATAGACATTTGATTTAAACCTGTGTTTTCATTTAGTAGGTATCATGGTCAGGGAAACAAAAATCATTACCCTAATGAGTCTCTCGGTTGAAATATCCGCCAGTTTTTTGGGCTGAATTCATCAGTGCCCTAGATTTGTACACTTCACGACCCCGCACCTCTAGGAGCCACCAGCTCTGCGATCCTCCGCCAGCTCGGTTCAGACGGAAAGTGACCATAATCCGTAGCTTACTGTGTGGTAATGTGGCAGTAGTCTTCTATGAGGATCCATAGAAACAGTATAGTGCTTGCTGGCACCCAGTGTGAGGTCCGAGGTATCCCTTTCTTTATACACAGCACAAAGACCTTTACTTTTTCTCATGCCTGTGACCGAAATTAACCACTGCAGAAAATCACGTTTTATATATATATATATAGTAGTAGTAGCAACAGAAGAAAAAGAAGAAGAAGAAGAAGAAGAAGAAGAAGAAGAAGAAGAAGAAAGAAGAAAAAGAAGAAGAACAGAGGAAGAAAACCGAGGCTTTCTTTCCGAGTCTTACCTGGCACAATAGCTCTTCAGCAATAAAAGACTACAAAAAGACCAAGCGGTCTGCGAAAGAAGGTTGGAGGAGGGTTTTCTTATTCAAACATTTGTAGTACATTAAACACATTATCCTCATATATTTATATTTACCTTAATAATAATTGTCACTATCAGCTTGTTTCTAAAGATTGTGTTCTAGATTTTCCTCACGCTGGCTAGCAACGTTCTAGTTACAGTGGGTCGGTAATCATTGAATGAATAATAGGTTAGTTCTTTCGGCTCTACTGGCAAATTTGGCCGGTAAGCTGGACTGCTTCGGCCGGCTTAGTGGGAGTTATGTCCCTTCGCCAAACTCAAAACAAGTCGCGGAAAAAGTCACGAATCAAATGACATACTTACCTATCATCATCCGGGTGCGTGTAGGGCTGCGTAGGGTTGCGTCTAGGGTTACCTATCATCATACGGTTGCGCGTACGGCTGCGTAGGGTGTCTATCATCATCATACGGTTGCGTGTAGGGTTGCTTAGGGTGTCTATCATCATCATCATATGGTTGCGTAGGGTTAGGGGTGTGGGTTAGGGGGAGGGTTGGGGGTAGGGTTAGGGTTAGATGATGTGAAAATATTCACGTAGGAGGTGGAAATACTGGCCGACAATCTGATGCTTGTGGCAGTGGCGCCACTGGAAGTGTGCCAAATATGACGGCAATAGCGCGCGGCTGGTGCCCAATCGGTGGCGAATTGTCCGTGTCAGTAGCATCCACCGTCCGTCGACTGTTTGCGCGTGCAAGCGACTGTGCGCGATTGTAGGGAACTACTGCGTCACAACTGTCACATCTAACGCTACACCTAACCCTAAACCCTAACACATACACCCTAACCCTAAACCCTAAACGCTAACCCTAACCCCTAACCCTACCCCTCATCTATCTTACGCAAACAACCAACCCTACACGCAATAAGCAGCCCTACATGCAACCGTAGGACGATGATAGACACCCTACGCAACCCTACACGCACCCGGATGATGATAGGTGAGTATGCCGTTTGATTCGTGACTTTTTCCGCGACTTGTTTTGAGTTGTTTTGAGTTTGGCCAAGGGACATAACTCCCACTAAGCCCCGCTAAGCCGGCCGAAGCAGTCCAACTTACCGGCCAAATTTGCCAGTAGAGCCAAACTTTCTTCTCAGCTGTCTCTAGCCTAGCATACGTATTCTGTCTCGTTGTGAGAAAGCTTAGAAGTTTGTTCGTCAGATAAAACAGTAAAGTTAAACGTAAACTATGCAAACATATTTATTACATTAAGTATCTACCACTATATGATATCTGACAGTATGATCAGGCGAGTATGATGATGAGCTAACAAATGGTTGTGGTTGTTTGTAGTTGAGCTTTGTCTGTAGTTGCACACAAACAATAGAATTAGTAATTAGATCTGATTGATAATTTTGACGGAGGGAACCTGTATATTGTCTTTTTATCCGTTAGTACAGAGGACGGTTGAGTAGAACGGTTTCCGCAGTTTGTCCTGTGAACTATTGGCGGTCTATTTACAGTGATCTCACCAGAAACATGGCTAATTCTTTGTCTGTTTACAGAGATCTCACCAGAAACATCGCTAATTCTGTGTCTGTTTACAGAGATCTCACCAGAAACATGGCTAATTCTGTGTCTGTTTACAGAGATCTCACCAGAAACATGGCTAATTCTGTGTCTGTTTACAGCGATCTCACCAGAAACATGGCTAATTCTGTGTCTGTTTACAGAGATCTCAACAAAAACATGGCTAATTCTGTGTCTGTTTACAGAGATCTCACCAGAAACATGGCTAATTCTGTGTCTGTTTACAGAGATCTCACCAGAAACATGGCTAATTCTGTGTCTGTTTACAGCGATCTCACCAGAAACATGGCTAATTCTGTGTCTGTTTACAGCGATCTCACCAGAAACATGGCTAATTCTGTGTCTGTTTACAGCGATCTCACCAGAAACATGGCTAATTCTGTGAAGGTGATGAAGCGTAAAGAGCTGGAAGCATATCTGCAGGATGTTGAAGTCTTTGAAAACCCCAAAGTCAAGCTGGAGCAGTATCCCACTACACCACATATTGCAGGTAGCCTTTTTATAAATTTTACAGGGGAGTAATCGCTGGAATTTCTTTACAAGAAATAATAGACATAATAGAGAGTCAGGACAAAGGTCTCAGTTTGAAGAGAGGAAAAATAGGAGTGATAATGGTGGAAAAGCAAGGTCAGGAGGAACACATGCGCAGTCACACACACACACACATATATATATATATATATACAAGTTGTTCGTGAAGTAATGAAGACTTTTCATCCAAAGTAGCAATGATTGTGAGTACGAAGGTTGCTAATGAATCATGAAAGTTCTTGAGCAGTGCAGAAAACAAGTGGAAGCCGCAGTAAGTGTGGGATTAGTGATTCGGTTTGTTTTAGTTTGCCTCTGTTTTTCTGCCAGTGCAACATCCACTACCTGGCAGGCCGATGCACCGTGCCTGAAGGATTTATGTTATCCAGAATGGTCCTGTGCAGTAGCCTCTTGCGTCGCTGTGTTGATGCCAGAAGAATTGAGAGTGTCCTTATAATGCTCTTCTGTCCTCCCTGTGACTTCTTCCCTTGCTGGAGCTCACCATAAAATACTCTGTCATTGATCTCGTCATCGATGTTGATTGTCTGAGCATGGTGCTGTCATTGATCTCGTCATCGATGTTGATTGTCTGAGCATGGTGCTGTCATTGATCTCGTCATCGATGTTGATTGTCTGAGCATGGTGCTGTCATTGATCTCGTCATCGATGTTGATTGTCTGAGCATGGTGCTGCCAAGATATGTGAATCTGTCGACTACATTTCTGCAAAATGCTAAATCTCATCAGCTTTATTGCTTAGCCACAAGTCTCGCATCTGGCAAAGTTTGATTCCTTTAATATTTCTGAAGGAGTCCTTCTTTGATATTGAATTTAGGAAATTTAACAAAGCTTTAAAGAAGCGGTGTTTCTACATTAGAAGACGCTGAAAATGTTCTGAGTTCTCGTCAGACCAGTCCTGGTGTTTCATCGTGGCAGGTCCTGGTGTCTCTAGAGTTGTGCTGTAGATCAGATCTCTCAGGGTGATCCATGTTTCCTCGTGGCAGGTCCTAGTGTCTCTAGAGCTGTGTTGTAGATCAGATCTCTCAGGGTGATCCATGTTTCCTCGTGGCAGGTCCTAGTGTCTCTAGAGCTGTCTGTAGATCAGATCTCTCAGGGTGATCCATGTTTCCTCGTGGCAGGTCCTAGTGTCTCTAGAGTTGTGCTATAGATCAGATCTCTCAGGGTGATCCATGTTTCCTTGTGACAGGTCCTAGTGTCTCTAGAGCTGTGCTGTAGATCAGATCTCTCAGGGTGATCCATGTTTCCTTGTGTCTCTAGAGTTGTGCTGTAGATCAGATCTCTCAGGGTGATCCATGTTTCCCTGTGGCAGGTCCTAGTGTCTCTAGAGCTGTCTGTAGATCAGATCTCTCAGGGTGATCCATGTTTCCTTGTGACAGGTCCTTGTGTCTCTAGAGCTGTGCTGTAGATCAGATCTCTCAGGGTGATCCATGTTTCCTTGTGACAGGTCCTAGTGTCTCTAGAGCTGTGCTATAATTCAGATCTCTCAGGGTGATCCATGTTTCCTCGTGGCAGGTCCTAGTGTATCTAGAGCTGTGCTGTAGATCAGATCTCTCAGGGTGATCCATGTTTCCTCGTGGCAGGTCCTAGTGTCTCTAGAGCTGTGCTATAATTCAGATCTCTCAGAGTGGTCTGTTTTTCCTTGTGACAGGTCCTACTGTCTCCAAAGTTGTGTTGTAGATCTGATCTCTCATTGTAATCATGTTTCCCGCTGGGAGCCACAGGATAGAGCTGAGTGCCAGACCTAGCCCAGTGGTGGTAAGCTGCTCTAAGGAGAGAGCTGAGTGCCAGACCTAGCCCAGCGGTGGTGAGCTGCCCTAAGGAGAGAGCTGAGTGCCAGACCTGGCCCAGCGGTGGTGAGCTGCCCTAAGGAGAGAGCTGAGTGCCAGACCTAGCCCAGCGGTGGTGAGCTGCTCTAAGGAGAGAGCTGAGTGCCAGACCTAGCCCAGTGGTGGTGAGCTGCTCTAAGGAGAGAGCTGAGTGCCAGATCTAGCCCAGTGGTGGTGAGCTGCCCTAAGGAGAGAGCTGAGTGCCAGATCTAGCCCAGTGGTGGTGAGCTGCTCTAAGGAGAGAGCTGATAGTCAGACCTAGCCCAGCGGTGGTGAGCTGCCTTAAGGAGAGACATTCATTGTATTAGCTTGACTGCAGTCACCCCCATAGTTTCACCACTTAAGGAGAGACATGGCGGTCACCTTGCCAGAGCTACTACTGGTATACAAATATATACGTACACAATGTTACTTTAAAAACATGTTTTGGACATTTTGTCATCCCTCAGTGACTTTGTCAAACAGGTTTTTGAACTGTTTGTTTGTTAGACCACTTTTGAGGTTGTTTGGAGCCCTTTTTTTTTTTTTTAAATTTTAGGTAGCAGATTATTCCATATTCTTACACTTTTACTGTCTTCTTTTCTATCACTCACTCTCTCAATCACTCACTCATACACACAGACTTTGTTACTCTCAATCTGGTTTCTCTGGTACCAGCCTGTATGCTGCACACAATTTGTTGCACTTATGATGACTTGACAGACAAGAGTGTTGTTGACCTCGGAGTGGGCTGTGGAGTCTTGAGTATCGGAGCAACAATGCTGGGAGCACGGTAACACAACTTTATCATACATATTTGCCAGGTTTTTCTAGTATATTGTAGGTCAATTTTCTTCCGTCAGAGAGCAGAGTGGCTTATAGGTGTGACGTCCACCTCTGACTTGACCATGTTTGCTTTATGGTGTGACGTCCACCTCTGACTTGACCATGTTTGCTTTATGGTGTGACGTCCACCTCTGACTTGACCAGGTTTGTTTTATGGTGTGACGTCCACCTCTGACTTGACCAGGTTTGCTTTACGGTGTGACGTCCACCTCTGACTTGACCAGGTTTGTTTTATGGTGTGACGTCCACCTCTGACTTGACCAGGTTTGCTTTATGGTGTGACGTCCACCTCTGACTTGACCAGGTTTGCTTTATGGTGTGGACATTAAGCATTTATGTGCAATAAAATATCTCCCTGATCCTGGGGTAGTGAACTGAACTTCAATCAGAGACTGGTGAGCGCATTTCACAGTCTTCAGTGTACCAGGGTTCCACTTTTGCTGTGGGCTGTTTAAGGAAAAGGAAAGAAAACATCCTCATGGCTTGTGAACAGCAACCTACACCATGGGAGAGGTTATGGCCCCACTGTGGCTTGTGAACAGCAACCTACACCATGGGAGAGGTTAGGGCCTCATTGTGGGAGAGGTTGGGGTCTCACTGTGGGAGAGGTTGGGGCCTCACCATGAGAAAGATTATGGTCTCAATGGGAGAGGTTGGAGCCTCACTGTAAGAGAGTTTGGGGCCTCGCCATAGGAGAGGTTGGGGTCTCACCATGGAAGAGGTTTTAGCCTCACTGTAAGAGAGGTTGGGGCCTCACCATAGGAGAGATAAGGGTCTTACCATGGGAGAGGTTGGAGCGTCACTGTAAGAGAGGTTGGGACCTCACCATAGGAGAGATTGGGGTCTCACCATGGGAGAGGTTGGAGCCTCACTGTAAGAGAGGTTGGGGCCTCACCATGGGAGAGATTGGGGTCTTACCATGGAAGAGATTAGGGTCTTATCATGTAATATTCCCAGACAAGTGGTAGCACATATCCACTGCAGCTGACCTCTTTTTTAGGAGACAGAACCATTTTTTCAAGAATAGAGTTTACTGGTGGCTGAAATCTTCTTTGACACCTGTTTACCTATGTTAGACCGGCTACATAAGAGATATAGAAATGTGGACCAAGAATATCAGGTCAGGGAAAGATTGACATACATATGCTAGCAGACTGAGTGTCAGGTCAGGGGAAGAGTGACATAGATATGCTAGCAGACTGAGTGTCAGGTCAGGGAAAGATTGACATAGATATGCTAGCAGACTGAGTGTCAGGTCAGGGGAAGATTGACATAGATATGCTAGCAGACTGAGTGTCAGGTCAGGGGAAGATTGACATAGATATGCTAGCAGACTGAGTGTCAGGTCAGGGGAAGAGTGACATAGATATGCTAGCAGACTGAGTGTCAGGTCAGGGGAAGATTGACATAGATATGCTAGCAGACTGAGTGTCAGGTCAGGGGAAGAGTGACATAGATATGCTAGCAGACTGAGTGTCAGGTCAGGGGAAGATTGACATAGATATGCTAGCAGACTGAGTGTCAGGTCAGGGGAAGAGTGACATAGATATGCTAGCAGACTGAGTGTCAGGTCAGGGGAAGATTGACATAGATATGCTAGCAGACTGAGTGTCAGGTCAGGGGAAGATTGACATAGATATGCTAGCAGACTGAGTGTCAGGTCAGGGGAAGATTGACATAGATATGCTAGCAGACTGAGTGTCAGGTCAGGGGAAGATTGACATAGATATGCTAGCAGACTGAGTGTCAGGTCAGGGGAAGATTGACATAGATATGCTAGCAGACTGAGTGTCAGGTCGTAGAAAGACTGACATGGCTTAAATTCTAATGGCACCAGTAACTGTCTGATTGTATATTTGTCTGGCCCTTGCCCTGAGTGTTGACCAGATCCCCTGGTAACTCCTTGCAGCATCATTTTCCTTACTCAGACAATGATGATCCATCTGTGCCTCACCGCAGCTCTCATCAGTCCTGTACATTTAAGTGCACATCATCTGAACTCTCATCAGTCCTGTACATTTAAGTGCACATCATCTGAACTCTCATCAGTCCTGTACATGTAAGTGCACATCATCTGAACTCTCATCAGTCCTGTACATTTAAGTGCACATCATCTGAGCTCTCATCAGTCCTGTACATTTAAGTGCACATCATCTGAACTCTCAGCTTCTGGCAGATCTGAACACTTTTGTCTCAGCCTGGTATCAGAGTACCACATCTCAGAAGACTGCTGCAAGGATCCACAGACTCCAGCAAAATGTTCTGAAGGATAATTTATGAGAAAGGGGCTGTTCCTCTATGAAACCAAATAGTGCCTCTATTGTTCTATAAATCAGCCGAATATTTGTGTCCCCAGCTATGTTTTGGGTGTAGACATTGATGAGGATGCTCTTGACACTTGCTCCAGAAATCTCCAAGACTTTGAAATTCACACAGTAGATCTACTAGCTGCTGATGTTCGGCATTTAGCCAACCCTCTGAACTGCCACCTGCATAAGAGGTTTGACACTGCTGTGTTGAATCCTCCCTTTGGCACAAAGCATAATCAAGGTAGCATGTGAGTGTCTGGTTGTCAAGGTAACAGGTGTGTGAGTGGTTGTCAAGGTAACAGATGTGTGAGTGTCTGGTTGTCAAGGTAACAGATGTGTGAGTGTCTGGTTGTCAAGGTAACAGATGTGTGAGTGTCTGGTTGTTGTAACAGATGTGTGAGTGTCTGGTTGTTGTAACAGATGTGTGAGTGTCTCATTGTCAAGGTAACAGATGTGTGAGTGTCTGGTTGTTGAGGTAACAGAATTCTGAGTGTCTGGTTGTCGAGGTAACAGATGTGTGAGTGTCTGGTTGTCTAGGTAACAGATGTGTGAGTGTCTGGTTGTCGGGGTAACAGATGTGTGATTGGTTGTCGAGGTAACAGATGTGTGAGTGTCTGGTTGTCAAGGTTACAGGTGTGTGTGAGTGTCTGGTTGTCGAGGTAACAGATATATAAGTGTCTGGTTGTCAAGGTAACAGATGTGTGTCTGGTTGTCGAGGTAACAGATGTGTGAGTGTCTGGTTGTCTAGGTAACAGATGTATGATTGGTTGTCGAGGTGACAGATGTGTGAGTGTCTGGTTGTCAAGGTTACAGGTGCGTGTGAGTGTCTGGTTGTCAAGGTAACAGGTGTGTGAGTGTCTAGTTGTTGAGGTAACATATTTCTGTCTGGTTGTCAAGGTAACAGATGTGTGTCTGGTTGTCGAGGTAACAGATGTGTGAGTGTCTGGTTGTCGAGGTAACAGATGTGTGTCTGGTTGTCGAGGTAACAGATGTGTGAGTGTCTGGTTGTTGAGGTAAGAAATGTATAAGTGGTTGTTGAATCTCAAGTTTCATAGTACCAGGTTATTTTATTGTTTAAGATCCATTATTGCTGCATTTGACCACATACTGACTGAGTTTGGTAGTCAGTTTATTGTACATTCCCTTGCTAAGAGGTGAGGAACTGGTCTGCGTACAATCAAGCCAGATCTGTCAGGTGGATCTGTTGCAGAACTCAAGTCCGGAGCAAGGCCAAAGTCCAGAGTCAGTGAATAACCAGAACTTTCCACTAGAGTTTACAACTGATGAACCCGAAGAAGAAGAATGAAGGGATGAGGGAAGACCAGCTTAAGACTGGAAGTTGTAGTTACAGAGTAGACAAAACGGAAGCAATGTTCATGAAGTGAAATGGTAATTTTTTTTATTAGATGATCAATAATGATGCGAGAAGTAGTGAAACAGGAGTCTGCTGAGGGAGACTAAGCCATGATTGGCTGGTTGTGAGTGTTGTGGCGTTGATTGTCATCATCAAGCCTAGATAAGCCTGCCCCTGTTAACTGATTTCTGGTCTGTTTCTCAGGTATAGACATCGAGTTCCTGAAGGCTGCACTGGCGTTGTCCAGACATTGTGTTTACTCACTTCACAAAACCTCCACACGAGAAGTAAGGTCATCAACTGAGTGTCCTCTCTGTGTGTCATTGCTTTCTCTGTGCTAACTCTAGGTGGTCAGTCTCACAAGTGATGTTATAGAAAGTGTGCGTGATCATGTTGTTTTGCTCTTCCCATGGTTTCTGTGCATATTTTTTAGAGTTAACAAAAATATAGACCTACTGGCCCCTGACATGTTGTGAAACTTGTTAATTAGGAATGTTGTTTATTTTTGATGTCAGAGTGCATGTGCTTGAGAGGCAAGGAACCAACAGTCTGCACACAAGTAAGCCAGATCTCTAAAATGTATATTCACCCCAAAACTCAAGTTCTGGAACAAGACCAAAGTTTAGAAGTGGATGAACAACCAGAACTCATTCCAGAGTTTACAGCCATTGAATGCAAAGAAGAATAAGAAGATAGTGTTGTACATAATATCTAAAATTACATGGACATAGGAGTGATATAAAGTGAGGCGTGGTACTGCAGCTAGTTAGGTTAGATGTTTGCCTGCCTTGCCAAAAGTTTGGATCTAGATCACGGCAGAATTGATAACTGACTATAGGGGTTCCAGGTGGAGCTAGCCCACACAGGATGCCAGGAAATGATGTCCACATACATCGGGCACAGGCTGCTGATGTGTCTGTACACATAAAGGGTTGGCACCATATGTCTTATGCATCAGTGACATTTAAAATTGTCCTTATTTACTAGGTGACAAATCGATCAGTAAAAAGAACGACTGACTGAAAATCTATTTTTGAAAGTGTTGTTTTTAACCCATTTGTTATTATTTTCAAAAAAAAATATGTGTTACGAATACCAGCATTTAACTCTTTGAGTCCCAGGGGGTTTAGCATCACAGACCCAAGGGGTAGTAAAGAAAGTAATAAAATCATCGCATCATGCGTTCATTGGGCTTCTAGGTCGGAACCTATAAACGTATGATGCGTTCCTTGGGACTCAAAGAGTTAAGAGAAAGCTGAAATTAGACCATATCTGGATCATATTAATAGACATAGAATCTGGTTTGGCCATTTAGTGAGAATGCAGCCAGACCAAATTGCATTTGAGATTTTTTACAGTAGGACGATGAGAAGACCATGAAAGATATGGATAATTGATGTAGCTAAAATCTGCAAATAGATGAACAAATCAACAGCCCAAGAAGCTCAGTACAAATACAGAAAACCACGACACTGAGCTACAACATGGTATCAGTTAGACAACAAAACCACAACACTGAGCTACAACATGGTATCAGTTAGACAACAAAACCACAACACTGAGCTACAACATGGTATCAGTTAGACAACAAAACCACAACACTGAGCTACAACATGGTATCAGTTAGACAACAAAACCACAACACTGAGCTACAACATGGTATCAGTTAGACAACAAAACCACAAACACTGAGCTACAACATGGTATCAGTTAGACAACAAAACCACAACACTGAGCTACAACATGGTATCAGTTAGACAACAAAACCACAACACTGAGCTACAACATGGTATCAGTGAGACAACAAAACCACAACACTGAGCTACAACCTGGTATCAGTGAGAAGACAAAAAAAAAGGGCGAGCTGTTTATTATTATTAAATTTTTGTGTGCGGGAGGGGGGGGGGGGTGTTATTTAATAAACAATATGCAATATTGATAATCGACATTGAACTCAGTAAATTATATGTGTTACTGGCCTCCACAGTGGAAACAAAGCACAGGAACACAGTAACTTGCCACACAAATCTCACAAGAATTGCCGCAGACTGACTTAACTTACTGCATAGAAAACTTCAGCTGAAAAATTCAACGAATCGTGGACAAGTCTGTAAAGGGATGTGCATGAATTAGTTGTTTCAGTGCCTCTGCTCCATTGGGAGCTGAGAGACAGAGGGAGTCTATGGGCAGTAATGATTGTTCTGTTTTCTTCTCATTTCAGCATATTTTAAAGAAAGCATCTGACTGGGGTGTGGAGGCCAAGGTGATAGCTGAGCTACGCTTTGATCTGGCCAACACTCTCAAGTTTCATAAAAAGACAGCTGTAGATATTGAAGTTGACTTCATTCGATTGCAACACAAGACAGATGGCCGCACTGTGTGATCCTCAGTTTTTGTTCTCAGGAGTTTTTTCATGTGGTGAAAACTAAATATTTTGCAGGCTGGCTGATCGCCATTTATATGCACTGGGTTTTATCCTATATGGCTTAGTCTCTCTTTACAGGGCATTGACAAGACTGTTGCTCAGAGTGACCTTATCTGTTGGTTTTATAGTGCTGCTCATGGAAATAGATCATTACCAGTGATTCAGGTGTGGGGGAAAGTGTTGACTAAAATTGTGTGTGAGAGAGACAGATTTCACTGAAATTGTGTGTTAGAGAGGGAGACAAGATGGAATGAAATTGTGTATGAGAGAGACAGCTTTCACTGAAATTGTATGTGAAAGAGACAGCTTTCACTAAAATTATGTCTGATAAAATTTGACTGAAATTATGTGTGGGAAAAGTTTGATTGAAATTAAAGGTGACATGCTCAATACATCAGTGGTGTATATAAATAAGCTGTAGTGATTATGTGCTTTTACAGTAGAGCACTCGACCAGTTGTCTGTTAGTGTAAAAGTTTGAGTCTCATTGGGTGATCTGCTGTCTTTGGTTCAACAAATCTGCACAATCATTTGTAAACATAAAGATAATGAAATGTTAGGTACAATCTAGAAGCATCTATAATTTCTCTAGACCTTCTTTTAAAATTAAAATGTAAGAAATGTAAAACATGAGAGGACACCACATCAGGGAACACCACACCAGAGGACATCGCATTAGGGGGCACCACACCAGAGGACACCGCATTAGGGGGCACACATCAGAGGGCACAACATTATGGGACACCACAACAGGGGATCGCATACCGCATCAGAGGACACCACATCCGCACTCTAAGACTAACGTGTGGCACAGACAGTATCAAGGATGTGCAACATTTTTTATGGGTTATAATGTTCGTCAGGGCACAATGGGCATACTCTTAAATGCTCCTTCTCTCTCAAATTGTAAAAATTATTTTTGATACTCACTGCTCCTTTGACTGCGAAGATTGTGCTCGGATTATTCTGACTTCTTTTATAAATCAGTTGAACTTCTTGATTTCTTCAGTGCCCATTTTCTATCCGGAACACATTCTACTAGAAGCTCTGAACAAAGTCTTTAACAATCACCAGGAGAGATGCTTTCCCAACCAAACATAATTCCACCAGCGATGGACACAATCTGATTTTAACTTTTTATTACTGTGTGGTTGCTTCCAAAGTATTCTTTTGCCATGTGGAAATCCTCCGCTCTGATCTAGACACCAAGATTATCTTTAGTGAGAAGCTGAGATTAGTTTATAGACAAGACCACAACCTTAAAGACAAACTTGTCAGAAGCCGACTCCCACCAACCCATACAGCACTTCCTTTTGGGACTACTGAATGCTCCCGCAACATGTGCAAGACATGTCCCTTCGTTGTCCAGACCACGGCCATCTCAATTTATTTTTTATTATTTATAATTAGAGACGGCGTTGTCCAGACCTCATCAGTCAGTTTCTCTAATGGTTCTTTCCAAATGAGGGTACCTTTTACTTGTGAATCTCATGGAAACTGGCAAGGTGCTAGCTGATCATTTCTGGGAACACCTCTCCAATATTGACAAGAAGACACTTAAACCGATCCCTCTCCATTTTAACAGCTCTGACCACAGAGGTAAAGATGATATATCTGTCACAGCATTAAAATCTTGCTCTGGCGATCATACCACGCACCTCGCTGGGGAAGTCACGTCACCCATAGCCTAAGTGTACTTAGTCCAGGTGGCATCAATGTCCAACAGACCTTTATCTAAACAGTTTTACTATTATTATATTTTCAGTTTTAATTTTGATATTAAAACTGTATTCGAACTCTTATCAGTACCATTTATGTAGCATTAACATTTGTATTTCCATTACTCTGTTGTTCCTACTATTATATAACAAAAGTCATTTTTATTCTTTGCAGTTTTTTTTCGTGAACCTTATTTTTTTTTTTTTTTTTTGTTTCTTTCACTCCACATCACATTTTTTTTAGAAGTTGCTCACGTCACCCCTTAGAGATTTGTGACTCAACTTACTGCATTAGAGATTTGAGTACTCTCCTCTTTCTTACTGTTGAGTGGTTCATTACCTTTCCCAGAAAGGCCACCGGCCGAAACGGTGTTTTTGTGCACGTTTCTCTACTTCCCCTTTCGTTCCGCCATACATATTCATACATACACACATACATACATACACACACACACACATACATACACACACTTGTGAAAGTAGAGGTCCCTTTTTGACGCCTTTAGGTGTAGTGGCAATATAGGACTAGACCTATATTTTTCGACCAATTGCCACTTGGTGGGTGATGTGGTCAACATCACAGCGGCAACCTTTACTTCCCAAGACTGCACCTTGTACCCACTCAAGGCTGCGTCGACCTGGGAGTCAAGGTCATTTTTGAAAGAAAAAAGCAAGTCCGGCTCCGTCAGGACGCGACCCACGACCTTCCGATCCGCAAGCCACCACCACGGCGACTCCCACACACCCTTGTGTAGAGATTAGAGATATAGTTCAATAACTATTGCCTGTGTGTTATACCCTCCCCCCCCCCCCCCCTTTTTTTTTTTTCTTCTGCCATTTTTGTGAAGAAAAATTAATGCGAGCCAAGTCTGTCAAAATTCATGAACTAAATCTTGTGTAAAAGCAAAGAGCACGCATACGGTCTGACACGAAGAGAAGACACAGCAGGTGGAGGACAACAGTCTCAACTTTACGTTTCCTTGTGAAAGTTGATGAGGAATGGACAGTAGACATCTGTTGTTGTTCCTATTCTAGGCTGGGTATTTGTGGGCCCTTTGGAACAGTGCCGAGGCACAGATAGATCATTACAATCTAAGGAGAATGTCACTGCGAGGAGTTACAAGAGGATTTGGTTGACACTTAAGGGAAAGACGAGACGGATATACATCAGACAGTTCTTGGTAACATCGGAATTTTAACTCTTCGTTTGCTGCTGAAGATATGGACGATATGATGTCGATTCCTAATTCAACAAGACGTTTCCTGTCATAGTAAAGTGTTTTCTTTGGCTAGCTAATTCTTGCTGCCCTCTCTTGTCGTGCACAAAGTGTTTGTCAGCTTTTACCAGCTCTGTTATAGCCTGTTTATTTCTGGGTATAGAACACAGTGTCCATGTTACCAAAACCTGGCTGCATTGACGGATCTGAGACACTGCCATTTTCACATTTGGATGTTGCTATTTTTCACCTCTTTCGTGGTTCTCTTGATCTGTTTTTTTTTTTTTTTTTTAACCCGGTGACTTGTTTCATTTTGCTGCATCTAAAACACAAAGAAATTACGACAGGACACTGCAGATGTGAGCACCAGTCCGCACAGAGCACGGATTGTGGCATAACTGTCTGACCCAATACTGTCTGTAGTTTGTTGGTTTGGCTGTTGGAGAACCCAGGCACTTGTTCAGCAACGTTGTTTGAAAAACCGAATTGCTCAGACAGTCGGTAACTGAAGTTCCACTGTGTGCTCTTTTGTCTGTTATTGTGTTTGTGTCTTCAGCTATCATATGTTTAAAGTTTGTCTTCACAGTACTTTCTCGTGCCTATTGTGATTGTTTCTAAGCAGTAACACTCTTGACACCAACAGACATGGCCTTACACTTCCAGGGGAGCTGAGAGAATCTTTATAGAGTCCCACGTCAGAATAGAATCTGTGGTAGTCATTTGTGCCGCATCAAACTTTAAAGATTACAAATCAGAACCTGTGATAGCAGCTGGGACTCGATTGCTGGAGACAGAGAGAAAGGAAAGACGACCTTTCTGTCTTGCTTGTTCTGTCCTTGCGAAAGATGTGGACAATCAAATGCAAACATGGACATGACAGTCTGTTCTCTTGCTGGACATTAGAACTACTGGTCTTAGTGACGTACGATGAGAGAAGAGCGGTAACACACTGGCTGTGTGTCGAAGACTGCACTTATAATCTCTCTCCTTCTCTCTCTCTCTCTCTCTCTCTCTCTCTCTCTCTCTCTCTCTCTCGCTCTATCTCTGTGTGTGTTTGTATGCACTTATAATCTCTCCCCTTCTCTCTCTCTCTCTCTGTGTGTTTGTTTGTATGCCACCCCACCCCCCCCCCCCCATCCCTTCTATTTACTCATATTGCTCCTAATAAATATATGTATGAATGAGTAAGGTAAAGTCGGGAGATGTGAACCAGCGTCATTGCACACGGTTATAAACCATAAGTGCTCTGCCACCAGTACGGACAGCTGATAAGAATTGTCCGCCTGTGTCGCCGTTCGCACGTAACTCTGTAGCTACAGCGACGTTCCCCCATTTACCCCAGAGTGTCAACTGTGGAACCCATTTCCTAGAGGCTGGGTGGACCCCTGGAGCCGCCCGGTTTTGAACACCGACCGCGGGCTGCAGCGTGTCGCAGCTGGATTTGAAAGCGAGCCTCTTGTTGGCTGCGCTAACGCGGCCCCCCGTATAAATGAGTGTTTATGTGATTGTACGTATGCATATGCACAAGTGCGTTTCGATAAAGTGAAATAAATAAATACGAGGACACTGCACTAAGTGCATTATAATAAAATAAAACATGACTAGACAATAAGTTAATCTACATACTAGGCTGTTTTAACTTTAAACATTGTCTTTGATCTCTGTACGTGTTACGATCTGTTTTGTTTAGATAGGAAAATTGTCACTAGAGGATAAACTAGATGCAAGAAAGGGACATGCAAGGAATCAACTACAAACAGAAGCGCATAAATTGTCAAGTAATGAGACTGTTTCTGCTCGTCGTTTCCTTGTGAGTGTGTCAACATACCTTTACATGTCAGTGTGCGGAGATACAACATACCTTTACATGTCATTGTGCGGAGATACAACATACCTTAACATGCAAGTATGCTGAGATACAACATACCTTTACAAGCCATTGTGCGGAGATACAGCAGACCTTTACATGCAAGTACACGGAGATACAACATACCTTTACAAGCCAATGTGCGGAGATACAGCAT